AAGAAAAAATAGCAAAAACATGCTAGTGCATAGTAGTATTCCCCCGTCGCGCGGCCCTGCATCAGACCACTGAGGAAGAGGAGGGAAGAAAAAAAAAATTGCTATCCTCGGTAGGGAATATCGCCAGGTTTCGGGATCCTTTTGTTTTCTCTGGCCTGACGACATGCGCCTCGTAATGATGTTGAATTTATCAGTATTTTTGGCTTTTTTCCTGCCTTTTTCTTTCCCTCTTAGGGTAAAAAGATCTGCCTGTGAGCGCTTTTTTTCCCGCTTGGGATACCATGGGAGGGTTCCGTGTGGATGATGGTTATGCTTGCTCCCTTATCCTGGCTTTGGTATCATTAATTATTTTTAATTCAATTGTTTTTATTTATTTAATCCTTAATTATTATTGTTTTATTTTTTTTTTTATTTTTATTTTCCATAGATCTATATAATCATGCAATACCTCACGTCTCCGTTCACGTCTTGAGTCATCATCATTTCTTAGATCCTTCGATTATAATTCTATCTTTCCCATCTATAACTCCAACCCAACCCCAGGCGTTCGTGACTTTAAGATCTCTTCCACTTCTTAGTTCAATCCTTCAAAAGGAAACCAAACCCCCCATTTACATCATCCATCTCTCCCTTCCCCCCCCCTACTCCAAGCATTCCAAAATGGAAGGACTATTCTTCGACTCCAGTCGACCCATAAAACATGTCGACAGAAAGGCAATCTACACCCGGCTCGAAGCTCGCATCAACTATCTCCAAGACTTCCTGGACTTCAATTCCGGTATGCTCTTCTGTGAATGTTATCTTCCCGTGGATTATCATGGGTCGTGAACAATTGCTAACGCGGCCCATCCCCCATCAGCTGACGTCGAAGCCCTGACAACCGGCTCCAAGTACATCAAAGCCCTCATCCCCGCTGTCGTCAACATCGTCTACAAGAAACTCCTGGAACAGGATATCACGGCCCGGGCCTTCCACACACGGAATACTGCCGACGAGAGACCGATCGAGGAGTTCTACAATGAAGAAAGCCCCCAGATCCTGCGCCGGAAGATGTTCCTCCGGTGGTACCTGACCAAGCTCTGCTCGGATCCCACACAGACGGAGTTCTGGCGGTATCTGAATAAAGTCGGGTGAGTTTACTTCTTTCGTGACGATTGCATTCGGTGTTGATATCGAGATCTAACTGTGGTTGATCAGTATGATGCACACCGCACAGGAACGCATGCACCCCCTCAACATCGAATACATCCACATGGGCGCCTGCCTGGGCTTCATCCAAGACATCTTCACCGAAGCGCTGATGTCACACCCGCGCCTGCAGCTGCAGCGCAAGGTGGCCCTCGTCCGCGCCATCGGCAAAATCATCTGGATCCAGAACGACCTCATCGCCAAGTGGCGGATCCGCGACGGCGAAGAATACGCTGAAGAGATGTCGCAAATGACACTAGACGAGCGGGAGGGATTCCTTGGCGACAAGAAGATCTTGGGTGACAGCAGCAGCACGTCCGCCAGCTCGAGCGACGACGATCGCTCCAGTGTGCACAGCAACCCCAGTATAGCACCCAGCATTGCGCCTTCCACTATCTCGGCGTGTCCCTTCGCGGATATGGTCATGAGCAATTCGGCGGCGTCAACGTCGGAGACTAAGATCTGGGCGGGGAAGTAATTGATCGATAATTGGTTATCGGTCGAGAAAGCTTCTTTGGGAAGCAAGTAATGATGCGCCACGGCAAGGGAAGCATTCAAGGATCAAAAGGCATGGCTGGCGTAAGGGACTAGATGATTTCCTCCTTTTCCTATTCTTTGTTCCTCTTTTCTTTATTTCTTTTCGAGGTTGTTGACGGGGCTTTTGCTCGTCTAGAAGCATGCATGGCGGGTGTTTATTTGGGCTTTCTGATCAATTGCAATATACTATAATCAACGATATCCACTTACTGGTCTATGGCATCTCCACTCTATCTATACTTAGAGCATAGAAGCAAACAACAGACAGATTTCGGCTTTTTCATTTGAGTTTTTGGTGGTTGTGTGATGTGGATCCTTCGTCGCCCCCAACTTTCTTTGCCCTGCATAGGTGCAGGAATCGATATCGCAACCGCCAAAGCCATGGGAAGACGGTGTCAAACTTTATTCTGAACCCCGAATCGTCAGGAGAGGAAGGATTTCCAAGGGTTCGGGAAGGTATATCGCGTCCAACAAAGTTTCGAAGAACTTTGAGTACGTAAACATAGAGAAGAAGAATTGATGCACGGTGGATCCACGGTTATCCACAGTCAACTGCAGCAAGGCAGGCTGTCAGAATTCAGCCATTTTTAGATTAAGTTTTCATTGCTATCAATTATTGAGCCAAGACCAAGGCAGCTGGAGACGGCCGAAGGAGATGAGGCATTTTCTTCTTTTCTTTCTTTTCGTTTTGGGAGACATGGAGAACTTTGATGACACCCGCAAAATTCTGGTAGGAATTTGATTGTTATTGTAAATATGATGTAGGCAGAAGAGATACATAGATTAATGTCGCAACTTCTCCGTACTTTTCTGGTTAAATCACGGGATACCGCAGATCACCTGAACGGACATCTTTTCAGTATGAGGTCCCGAGTCCCGAGTCCAGGGGGCGTCAATATATCGGAAAACGCTTTTGGAGATCATCTTATTGCCAACGTTATTAATCTGGAAGACCCACCTCGGTTTTACGGAATAAGTTATCTATGGTAGCGACCAATAGAACTCACAAGAACAACCCCCATTGCTCTCTCGGATTTAGGGATTTAGGGGTTTAGGGGTTTAGAGGTTTACAGCAGGATCGGGGTACCTTACAGAAGACGCCGGGAAGCAGCATGGCCGCAAATTGGGCACAATGAACCATACAAGTGGAAGCATGTTGTGATTGGACCCAATTGCTGTGTCCAACCCCACCGTGGCCGCATTCCAATGCAGTTCTCCAATCATGCATGGCGTAGGTTAGTGACGTGCCTCGAACATCATCCTGGCCAGCAGCGCAGACATCAAGGGTATCGGAACATAAAGAAACGAGTCAGAGTCGGACAGTGCCAATGGTGTTGTCATGCACAAACAACCAGGATCATCCCCAAGGGTGGAAGTTGGATTGGTTGTCTTCCTGCATCCCTTGTGAATCTTATCTGCAGTGGAGAAGACGAAATGAACAAAGACAAATTGTGACCATCACGTTCCGGGAGGAAGGACGAACTGCTAAATTCTCGATTGGGCTGCAAAGCGTACCACTCCCAGGAGCGAATGAGAAGACTGTAACACCCACAACGAGCCCCGAAGAAGGCTCCAGATCGTCGTTCCCTGGACCGGGAATTGCACAGAGTCGGCTCCACTGCCGGGAAAGTTACCGAAATTCTCTCCCCTCACTTTAGCAGCTGCATAAGTGTCTCCAACGGCCATGCTTATTGGGAACTGTCAGTCTTTTTTGGTTGCGCCGTCGTTCTGTGATCATCCTTTGCTCTCCCGCCCGTTTTCTCCTTTTAAATATAATACGCCTCTCCCCTCGCTACCCTACCTTGGCTCCTTTATAACGACGTTCACTTGACTTAAGAATAATTCGATTCCTTTTCACGGGCGCTGCTGATTCAAAAAGGGGAGAGGTAAGAAAAAACAAAAACAAAAAAGGATGTCTGCAAACGGTACGGACAGCAAGGGAGTGATCCCGCTCATCATTAACAACGAATCGGTCGTGACGGAAACCATCTTCGATGTGCATAACCCTGCGACGGGTGAAGTCATTGACCGCTGTGCCAGTGCGTCCATTGACGATGTCAACAGTGCGGTGGCGGCGGCGAAGGCAGCCTTCCCCGCATGGAGCAAGACAAAGCCGTATGACCGTAGGGATATCCTGATGAGGGCGGCAGACATTATGCTTTCCAGAAGGGAGGAGTTGATCAGGTATCAAATGGAGGAGACAGGCGCGGGCAGAATGTTCGTGGAGAAGACGTTCGAGCTCGGTGCTGGATTCATCAAGGACTTCGCCGCACGAATTCCGTCCATCGAGGGCTCAGTCCCATCTGTATCCGAAGAGGGTGAATGTGCGATGGTCTTCAAAGAGCCTTATGGTGTGGTCTTGGGAATTGCGCCATGGTATGAACCTCCCACCGTAGATGCAAAGCACCGATCAGCACAGACTTGGGTTGTGGTTACTAACCATCTGCGTTTAGGAATGCTCCCTATATACTTGGGACCCGCTCTATCGCTCTTCCACTTGCTGCAGGCAATACAGCAGTTTTAAAAGGCTCTGAACTGTCCCCCAAGTGTTTCTGGGCTATTGGCGATATCTTCCGGGAAGCTGGTCTTCCTGCAGGATGTCTCAATGTGGTCTACCACCGACCCTCGGACGCAGCGCCTGTTACCACTGCTCTTATTGCCCATCCAGCCGTTCGCAAAATCAGCTTCACCGGCAGCACCCAAGTTGGATCTATCATCGCGTCAACCGCTGGCAAATATGTGAAGCCCGTCGTCCTCGAGCTGGGCGGTAAGGCATCAGCTATTGTATTAGACGATGCCAACCTAGAGAGGGCCGCCATGTGCTGTAGCCTTGGAGCATTCATGCATGTAAGTGCACTTGCCTGATGGTCGTCACTAGTGTTGTTGACATGATTTCAGTCCGGTCAAATCTGCATGTCCACCGAGCGCATCATCGTGCAGAGGTCCATCGCAGACCGATTCCGCACCATGCTGGCGGATGCATCCGAGAAAGTGTTCGGGAAACATACACCGGCACCAGTTCTTGTAGCATCCGCCGCAGTCAAGAAAAACAAGCACTTAGTGTCCGATGCGCTTTCGAAGGGTGCCGACCTTGTTTTTGGAGAACGCGATCTCTCTGAGGAGCCCGGCAATAGCCTGCGGCCTGTGATCGTGGGCAATGTCACCAAGGATATGGACCTCTATTCTGCAGAATCATTTGGCCCTACCGTTTCCCTCATGGTCGTCGACACTGAAGAGGACGCCGTGGCGCTGGCGAATGACACCGAATACGGCCTCACATCTGCAGTTTTCACAGACAATCTCTTCCGGGGACTACGGGTAGCTAAGCAGATTGAGTCTGGGTGAGTAACCCCTCGCACGAGTTTCTCGTGTCACTTGCTGATGAGCTTTTAGGGCTGTCCACATCAACTCCCTCACCGTGCACGACGAACCGGTCTTGCCACACGGTGGATGGAAAAGCAGCGGGTATGGCCGGTTCGGAGGACCCGCCGCGTACGATGAGTGGTTGCAAACCAAGACAGTTACCTGGGTGCAGTAGATAGCTCTGAGACATTCCCTGGTTCCCCGAAAGGTACCATTTATCCGCGTCCAGGGTACAAAATTAGATGTCCATTCGGAACCGTCCCTCCACTATAAGATATCCCATCCCATCCAAGAAACCAATTTCAATAGTTCCGGGCCTGTCTCATGGGTAGCACCGCATCTAGACCTTATCATAACGAGAAACTACCAATCAGCACGCTAATTGCCGAGGAAGGAACTGGGAAGCAATTTTGTAAGGTTGCATCGTCCGTCTCGAAAGCACAAATGCCATCTTCGGTAGTTCAGTGTGCTTTCGGATGGACTGGTCCCAGTTTTGACCGCTATTTCCATAGGGTAAAAGCGCAAGTACCTTTTTCGGTATAAGGCCGTGCACTAGACATCATAGTTAATCCACCAGAGATTCACCAGAGATTCACCACCAAATATATCAGCCATGGATTTTACATTCATGCTAAAGATAGTTGACGGGCAGTGCAAGTCAAACATTGGATAAATCCGACTCTAGCAACCCAGCCATAGAGGCGATGCTTGGCTCTCGTACCACCGACCTGTTCATGTTAATTTTAGCCCCGGCGAACTCCACCCCGGCTGAACCATGGGTTAGGCAGAACTAGTCAGTAGATAGGCAACATGCGCTCAGCAATCAGCATCCGAGACACCTGCACTAGTCTCCGACGCCACTGCAGTCTATGGCACATGGCTAGTGACACTGTAGCACTTTGCAGCGACAACGGACATCTTCCAGCCTTTCGGATTGGACCGACCTGAGTCACAGGGTCCAGTGCCTAGCTTGGCCACGGAGTCTGGGTTGCGGCGATTTTACATCGGAGATTTTCTTTTCTTCTTCTTTCCAATGAGTTGGCTTTGTACCTGACATGGTTGGTCATTGAGCCGTTGGGTAATTTCCCACGGGGGCACCGTAATTAAAGCTACAATCAAAATGTCAGCCTGTTGGGAAGATTTTAGTGGCAGAAGAACGGTCGGTCGGCTCCACCGACCAAGTCAGGAACAAGAAATGAGCGACAAAGCCAACGAACATCCCTCCCGAGAAAAGACACGGGATGACTTCATAAGTTTTATCTCAAGTTACGATCTTCTCTGTTTGCGGGGATCCATGATGATTATCAGTATCGGCTTATCGCAAGGATCAGGATCAGAGTCAGGGGTCCTTTTTAAGTCTCAAACAAAAGGTTTGTGAGACAAATTGATCAGCGACCGTGTGGTGAAGTCGTGACAGCGCATGCATTGTGTGGGAGTGCGGGTCAATAACGCAGTAAAATTATCCACTGTTCATTATTATTATTATTGTTATTATATTTTTTTTTTTCTTTCTCTCCCCTCTTGAGAGTGGACACGAGATACTTAGTTTGATTACTCCGATAATTAAAATTAAAAATCTCATTCTCTGGCGGCTAAAAGATGACCGACACAGCCTTGTGGCGCCAATCTCATCTCATCTGACGTCTGGAATAGAGAGAGAGAGAACGATTCCTGTGAAGAATACGAATGAAGTGGAAATGAATAGATCCGAAAAAAGAAAACAGAAATAGACAGAACTCGAGGGTGAACACGATTCCATCGTGTTTGAACGTGTGTGTGTGTGAGTGTGAGAAGTGGAAGTTCGGACATTTTCCGGAAGTTAGAATGAGACAGGGATGAAGGCAAGGGTGTGTTTGTACATGGTACTCCCTGTATGTATGTACGCGGTATGTAGTCTGTATGTACTCGGTACTCGGTACTCCTCCTGTATGGCAGAGGCTGAAGTCATCCATTGCCCCATTGTTGGGTGCCTGAAAGCCAAGAATTAATCACGCCCCCCCGCGTTGGTTTGTTTTTTTTTTTTTTTTTTTCCTCTGCCGATCAGAATTATGCAGATTCATGCCTCGACAAAACCAGCCACCACACATCTTTCTCTGGCAGCTTGACATGCCACATTCCTGATTTTGTATTAAACAAGGAAAAGAAAAAAAAATTCTACGAGATACGGCACCAACGCCTCCCCATGCAATGTGGCTTGCCAGGGTACACAACGAGGGCTGTGATATACATACTTCATAAGCTCGGCACCGTTAGTCCTTAGTTTTTGATACTAACGACCCTAACCAAAATGGCCAAAGATCCACAAGACGAGGGGGTCTACAATTTTGGCCCCTCATTGATGCCCTTTCGTCAAGTCTCCTATTGTTAGTGCTTCCTAATTGCTGGACACTGAACCCATCATCCGCCAATCATGAAGATAAGGGAACCTCCTAGAGTTCAGGCCTGTTCACAAAGTTCTTGTTAGTTTCTCCAAGATCTTGTTGAACTAGCATTTGCCATTCACTAGAATTGCGACAACCCAGTCACAGTGGCCCCTCGGTCCGGTGAGGGTAACATCCTCGATTTCTCTCAGGAGCCTGAACACCCGGAGGATGGCGAGGTTAGCGTCCAGCATTCCACCATTTAGGATGTCTCAACGAATGCCAGGCACGCGCCCCTCAGGATTGGACAGAGAGTCTTGTACTCCATCTTGATTTCATTTCTTATGGCCCCACTGTTGCTGAAATGAGCCGCAAGAAAAGACATTGTTCCCCTTCCCAAGGGGTCAGTGACAAGACCACCCTAAGGCTTAGCTGCTGTGACACTCCTCTGGAATCCTTTTTTATTCCCCCCTCTCCCCTCCTCTCGTCCATTTTTTCTCTTCTTCTTTTCCTTCCTTCAGTGTTGTCGTTCTTTTCGCACACCAGTCATTCTTTTGTCTTAGACACTACATCCCACTCCAGTCATTCCTTGATATACAGCTTCACAGCTTTCCAGCTCTCGCACACCACCTCGAGGTCATCTCCATTTTTTTTCCGCGTCGATATCTGACCAATTAAAATAAAGAAAGCAAAAATGCGTTTCTCCATCTTCGGTGCTCTCACTGCCCTCGCGGCTCTGGCTACTGCCCACACCGACCCTGATTACAACCAGGGTCCTACTGGCAACCCCATCTACACTCCCGGTCTGAACGAGGCCGTGCCCGTCGGCAAGCCCTACGCCATCACCTGGGGCCCTACCACCGAGGGTACCGTCTCCCTGGTCCTTCTCCGTGGCGAGAGCACCAACATGCAGACTCTCGAGACTATTGCCGAGCAGATCCCCAACACCGGCAAGTTCGAATGGACTCCCAGCACCAGCCTTGAGGCCGATGTCACCCACTACGGTCTCCTCCTGGTTGTCGAGGGAACTGGCCAGTACCAGTACTCCACCCAGTTCGGTATCTCCAACCCTAACGGCGCTTCTTCTTCTTCTTCTTCTTCTTCCTCCGCTGCTCCTGAGGTTCCCACCTCGAGCGCTGCCAACCCCGGTGCTTCTTCTTCTGCCACCTCTTACGTGACTTACGAGATCACCACTACTATCTGCCCCGAGACCGAGACCGCCCCCGCCACTGCCGCTCCTACTGCTTCGACCAGCGCTCCTGTCATCCCCCCTCACTCCTGGGGCACTGGCGGTGTTAGCGTCCCTATCGTCTCTCCCACCAACACCCCCTACCTCCCCACCACCCTGCGCAGCTCCTCTGCTCCCTCTGGCACTGCCTCTGGCACCACCCCTGCTGTCCCTGTGTTCACCGGCGCTGCTGACCGCAACGCCATCAGCTTCGGTGCTGCCGCTGCTGGTCTTCTTGCTGTCCTCGCTTTCTAAGCGCCTGGCGATCCGAGTAAACCGGTCCCAGTCATCTTGTGTACAGAAGAATTCCCATCATCTTTTATTCTCCGAAGGCCCGCCTTCTAGCAGATAGTAATATCAGCTCTTCGTGACACCTCAACCTAGGTGTGTTTTCTCAGACCATAAAACACACGCCCTACTACTGGAGTCGATCACTCGGCTCACTTGATACCTTCTCTTCATGTAATGAACTTCTCATGTATTCTTCCAATGGACATGATTTAGCAATTTCTTTTTTTTTTTCTAATGCCATATGATTTCGACACTTTCGGTCTTCCGTAGCCAAACTCTCAATTGTACACGGTCAAGTAAAGAGTATAAGTACATAAGAAATACCCATCTCCAAAAAGAGCTATAATAATACCCATAATAACACCCTGGATCGCTATCCC